GGAGCTTCCGCGGGGCCAGGCTGCGTCACGAGTCGGGAGTCGGCGAAACTTTCCTTGTTCCTGCCCGATGAACTTCGAAAGTACATAACGCACCTTCAGAAAATTATGAAAACTTTACTAATTTTAAGTTAACACGTTAACAAGTACCGCGTCCCATCAACCTTCAACCCTGCATTCTAGTCTGGCGCGTCTCTACTGTCAAGAGCGCACGAAATTCCGTGAGATGAGCTACAATCTGAACCTCCTGCGAAGCGGTAAGTGGAGATCGCGTTATGAAGAGTTCGCATCCCGCGTAAATTACTCAATTGCTCAAGAAAGTAACCAACTAGAAATCTTTTCGATGTCAGTGTTATCATGCAAGAAAATAAAAATATTTTATTTCAGGTGTAATTTAATGGATACATTTGGGTAACACCGAACAAATTAATAAATGAAACGTACCCTTTTAGGACAACATTTAGTCACGATGCTCATTCCGAAAACTTATTTTCTAAGAAATTGTTAAAATAATCGGTAAACTAGAAAATAAATATTTGGGCGGTTTAGATGAATTTCCACACAGTAAAGACTTGCATGCCTACCACTATACACCCCTAAACTCACATATTTAATGCACCTTAAGCATCGGAACTTTTCAAGTTATTTTCAAAACAGCCAAGATTAAGCCGCTCTTCAAAAAAGGCAACAAAAACAAAATTGAATATCGGCAAATTCCGCGTTAGTTAGTTTTATCAAACATAATAGAGAAGTTTTAGGTACAAATGGACACCTTTCTTAGTAAACACGTTTTCAAATTGCCATCATGGATTTCAAAAATAAAATGTTCAGAAACAGTCGTTTTCGGCCCAAAGAGATAATTTACGAACAACGGCGAAGGTTCCCTTGTGACGATAGGGGAAAGAAAAATGTCAACGGCGCTTCCTGAGCTGGGCGAAAAGTTTCTTGTGAAGGGTATCAAGGTCAAGGGAACCCGAGACATGCGAAGTGGGTACGCAATATCGCGTACAAAACGAATCATTTTCACAAAATAACTTTCTTGGTGATCTCTGCGATACTCGCACTAAAAACTAACACACGAGGACCAGGGATTGATTCGTAGATTTGCTCTTTTATTTGCAATAACGTCAGTATTTACGGAGAGGCGATTCAATAACGACATTGGAGAGGAGGCTACAGAATATATGTACTTTTGGGCACACTATGTACGGATATGTACTACAATGCGAAGGTTTTTTAGCACCAAGCGATATGGCACGTGATATTGTTGATTAGACTTGAGTTACTTCAGGAAAATATTACGTAATTATCCGGAAACTTGTAATGACATATAATGGCATTCCATAACCACAGAAAAGTACTTGAAACACAATTTGAAAGCAACCTTCCATTGGCTTCTCGCCGATATTTGTTCTGTTACATGATTGGTCTTCAGTATTATCCAGATATAAACTAATAAGTAAAAGCTTGGGGAACGTGAACTGTATATGTTTAATGATTTACTCCCCGGTGACGTCTACACTCAGTAATTCATTTCTAGTTTTGGCAGCAACGATACGTTTACGTTTGTATTGCGAAA